CCCAAGAAACTGAAATCCATCCCCATCTTGGCCATTTGCATTAGCCACCAAACTCTACAGAGTGGCAAGTTATATCCAAGTGGCAATGTCCTCTCCCCTGGGATGAAGATGTTAACCTGAGTGCATCAGACACCCTCGCCCCCTGCTCAGGGTTGTATCACTTGTGCAAGTGCCTAGCCTACAATGGATCCTATCCAAGTCCTGCCTCAGGTTCCCAGCACAGCTTTATATCTTGTTTTATTTGTATACCTTTCTATGGCATTAAAATTCACATGTATACAATTCACCCATTCATGATGTTTAGTAGGTTTGTTTGTGTATATATGTGTATGTATATATTTTTTTAATTTTGTAAAGCATGTATTATTAAGTTTATTGTTTCAGGGTTGGGATTGTAGTTCAGGTGTAGAGCACTTGCTCAGCATGTGCAAGGTGTTGTATTCCATCCCTCACATCACACACCCAGAATTGTGAATTACAGCCACGGTGTTGTCCCTATTATCACTACTACCCCAGTTCTTATCATCCCAAACTTAAACCCTGACCAGCAAGCTGTAGTTGTCCATTTACATCTCTACCTGGTGAGGTTTAGTCTTTCTATCCTAAGTTTGCTTGCTGTAGTTTTCTCATGGAGTCATGGCACATGTCAGATAAAATAGCCTCTACTAAACGTCACCACAGCCCAAGAAACACCCAGGTACCATGGTGACACAGAAGACTGCAGACGGGATGTATTATTGTGGGGAAGGGGCACAGTGAGTCCTCAGAGGACAGAACTAGTGAGTGTCACAGGGTTCTGGATCAGCAATGGTACTCTCATTTGTCAGAAGGGTGGGGCCCAGCCCTGGGCCTCATTGCCTATGCCTGTTTCAGGACTAACATCCTCCACAGCAGATCTCAGAACCACCCTTTCCAGGCTATTATTTGGGGGTGTTTGAGACAGGGTTTCTCTGTGTAGCCCTGGCTGTCCTGGAACTTACTCTGTAGAGCAGACTGGCTTCAGACTCACAGAGATCCACCTGCCTCCAAAGTGCTGGGATCAAAGGTATGCACCACCACTGCCTGGCCCTTCCCAGACTTAAATGAAGCTTCTTCTGTGTTCTTTTGTGGCAGGTCCGGCAAGCAGTGACCTCGGTGGTTGGGGGCTGGCTGCTGAATCTTCGTGACCGCTACTCCTTCTTCCACAAACTCACCCCACTGCTGCTCAGCAGCTTCAGTGACGAGATGCCTGAGGTCCGGTAAGTGCCTCGATGAGCAGCTGGGCAGTGTGGGCCAAGTGGCATCCCCTATCCCTCTGGAGTCAACACTGATTTGGAAGAAGAGCTTCTGAAGAAGAGCTTCTCTCCAGTTGCCATTTATCACAATGGTAGTTTCTCTACTCTAGAATTTCCACAAGAAACTGCCCCATCTCCTTGTTTTGTGTGTTATGTAATCCTATGCCATATGAACTATCTCTGATGGCTAAGACCTCTTTGGACTTCTTTCTTATTTAAGTTGGGTCTGTGAGTGGACATCAGACCCTTGTTAGTGTTGTCATCATGTAGTCAGCTGGTCAGAAGGCCACTCCTGCCCAGTGATGCCTGATGTCTAAAATCCCAGCAGGTGTTTCCCTGAGGTTTCTGTGGTCAGGACCTTCATAGAAGGGGTCTCCTGGCACCTAGGCCTGACTGCCACTCCTGTCTTGTGTTGCAGACAGACAGCCACCAGCCTCTGGGAGAAGGTCGGGCTGAAGTGGCAGGAGGAGAATGAGGCAGATCTAAAGGACAAGCTGGATTTTGCTTCTCCTCCTCCTCCCCACTACCCTAAAAACGGTGAGTGTCCCTGCTAAGGGACAAGACAGCAGGAAGATGCATGAGGGGCATTTGTTCTTGGCCCTGAAGAAGGCACTGGTATCTGAAGTGCTGCTGGGCCGAGTAGTTGCTGAGTCCCTGTTGGGGGGTCACAGAAGGGTCCCTCCTTCCCTGGTGGCAATGTGGGCCCACGAAGTCAGCCTGTGCCCTCTGTCTCTCAGGAGCCAGCCTTTTTCCACCTCTCAGGGCCAGCTTCATCTTAAAGGGAAGGAGTTCCCGAAGCATCCAGATGTGCTGCCAGGTGTCCACAACTCCCTTCTGAACATGTGCAGGGACAGATCTCTGCAGCACTGCTAAGAGCTTCAGGAGTGGCACCATGGGGGCCTTCCTTTTTTGACCTAGAGGCAGCTAAGCCTGCAGGTCAGAAATAAGTGGCATTTGTCTTTCCGTGTGCTATCTGCCCTGGAGGGTAGGGTCTTCTGTTGGCACCTGCTTGTTCTCACATAGTCATGACCCAAGGCCATATTTACACCAGTCTAGCAAATTCAGCTGTAAAGAAGGTCTTTGTCCCTAGCCCAGCCCCTGGTCCCATGGGCTTTAAGACCTCCTGTCTTCTCAGGAAAGTGCATCTCTTAAAACCAAACAGCAGTGCACCCTAAGAAGGGCAGAGATGTGACTTATGGATGGCACTGCCTTCCAGCACCCATGTGCTCTTTCCTAGACCCAGGGGATGGGTCTGGTGGACTGTGGACACAGTAGTGATGCTGAGACTGCTCCTGAGTTCTGTTCTGTTCTGCTGAGATGCCACCGTCGTTAGCCACCTCCATCCCAGTCAGCCTCTCTGCACCCGAGGTTCTGCCCTGTCCTCAGGAACTGACAGAAGAAAGCACGCTAGTTTTGAGAAAGATACAGAGAAAGATACAAGTAGTAGTATAAGCTGGTTTTGTTCCATTTTGATAAGTCAGGTTGAGAGCGCGGTTTTCCAGATGTGGAATTGAGATGTGAAAGCTGTTTATGTTTGATTGATTGATTGATTGATTGATTGATTGATTGTTTCTTTGTTTTTCTTGTGTGTTTGAGGTACTCAGTTTCAAACTCAAACCTCACTTGTGTGACACCAACTAAGTTATCCCCAACCCTTGGTTGTTTTTTTGTTTGTTCTGTGGCAGGGTCTCATATAACCCAGGCTGACCTTGAACTTGTGCAGTCCTCCTGCCTCAGCTTCTTGAATTCTGGGATTGCAGGTGTGCATCCCCGTACAGCAGGATTCTGAATGGCTGAAGGGCTTTTTTCCCTTCCTGTTCTTTCTGCCTCAGGTTACCTGTGTCCTTTTGCACAGCTGAGCAGGAAGTCACCTCCAGCTCTGGAGTCCCAGCCAGGCTCTGAACATGCACTGGTGATGTCCTCTGTGGTGTGAGGGATAGTGTGATCCCCTGATTAACTCTACCGAGCAGCTCTACCCTTGCTCTCCAGGGTCATCCCACACAGGTCACTGGCAGTCTAGCAGTGTCAGCAGGACACAGACTGACCTTGAAGTGCAAGGAAGTTCCCCACCTTGACTGTAACAGATCTTGCTGCCAGGAGCAAGAAAAGTGTGGGAGGAGTACTGTCTGGGAAGATAGCACACTTGACCAAGGTTGGGGGGCTTGTATGTAAGGACTTGGGAGGCATACTTGGATACACTGTCTGCACTGCCCAGCTTCCTATGCTCAAGTACTGGAAGGAGGTCTGCTCCCTGGGATATGTTTTGGATCTAAGTTAGGGGCAAGGGCTTGCTGCTGACAGTAATTACAGGCATCTCAATGGTTCTGGTTCTGAGCTGTGAGAGCAGCTCCTGCTCAGAGCTCTTTTTTCATCTGAAATCTGAAGCAGAATGGTTTTAGAATCGAGTCGTAGTAGCCAGCAACACGGCACTAGGTTTCATGAGTTTTGTTGTTCCCTCTGAAGTTATTTCAGTGTAGGATTAGAATTTTAAACTCAAGTTTTCATGATTTTGCAGCATTTCAGCCATTAGGTCTTGCCACTTTATATTTAGACCCTTACCCTAGCCCTCCTTGCTGTTGCCCCTCCCAGCCCTGTGCCTGGCCTCTACCCACCATCCAGGAACCTGCGTTGTTCTTGTCTAAGGGGCCGTGTACAAATACCTTTACATCTCTAAAACTGCCTTTTAAAGATATGGGTTTGTGAACTTTGCCAAAAAAACATGTCTGAAACAAGAGGGAATTCGTCCATCACTGGATCTGCCTGACTGTGGCCACTCTGTTTTTTGGGTGTCAAGTCATACTCTCTGTGGCCAGATATGTCCACTTGGCTGTCTTGTCGAGTCTCATCCCCACTACTGGGTTGCTCCTAGCAGTCACCTTCCTACTACCCAGTTGCCTCCTCCCTGTGCCTGACCCCTCCATGCTTCTTAGGTGGACATGTGCCCCAAGAGGCACTGACTGGGTGTTCAGAGACAGAGCAGCTCAGATGAGTGGCTATGACATGTTAAATCCTTTCTTCCTGCCAGTGTAGGGGGCCTTAAACTGCCTGACCACAGCTGATCCACACAGCACTTACAGTTGACAGTTCACACACACACACACACACACTCTGAGGTCAGCACCTGGATCAAATTTAATCAAGTTCAGGCTTCCCCTTGCCCAGGACAGAGAGGTAGTAATGTCACCACCTCTACCACAGGGTTTATGCTCAACTTACAGACAAATGGTGTTTTCAACACCAAAACAAGTCTCCACTTTTAGTTTCTAATTTTTAAAAGTATTTTTAAAGATTTTAATTTTTTAAGATGTATTTACTTTATGTGTATGAGTGCTTTGCCTGTATGTATTGTATCTGCCCATGTACATTCTTGGTACCTGTGGAGGCCACAATTGTGAGCCACCTAATATGGGTGCAAAGAACCAAAATCAAGAACAGTGAATTCTCTTAACAGCTGAACCATCTCTCCATCGTCTTGTTTTTTGTTGTTGTGTTTTTTGTTTTTGTTTTTTTATTTTGGTTTTTCAAGACAGGGTTTCTCTGTGACAGCTTTGGTTGTCCTGGAACTCGCTTTGTAGACCAGGCTGACGTCAAACTCAAAGAGCTCTGCCTGCCTCAGCCTCCCGACTGCTGGGATTAAAGGCACAAACCGCCACCACCTGGTTTTGTATTTATTTTTAACTATGTACTTGTGCTGGGAGCATGGATTTTATGAACATTAAGTGCACTGCCCTTGGAATCCAGAAGAGGGTGTCATATCACCTGGAGGTCAGGTGGTTGTGACCTCTCCAACATGGGTGATGGGAACCAAACTCAGGTCTCCTGCAAGAACATCAATCACTCTTAACCACTGAACCAAATCTTTAGCAGCTAAATCTCCAATTTTACTCATTTCTTTTAGCTCTATTAGTTTGTGTGGGTGTGTACAGTGTAGCTGTGGACACCTGTGCTACAATACATAGATGGAGTTCAAAAACCAACTTTGTGAAGTTCTCTCCTTCCACCTTTATGAAGGTTCTGGGGATTGAACTCAGGTCTTCCAGCTTTCATGGCAAAAACATTTACCCACCAAGCAAGCCACTTTGTTGGCCTCAAATTACCAGTTTTAAAATGGAGTGCTATGTGGAGCAGCCAGGAAGGTTGTAGTTACATTGTTTTCAAATTAGTTCTTACTGAATAAAGTGTCCTCAGGGTCCTGCAAAGCACCAATGGTAGGGCTCTGGTGACAGCAGGTTCCTGGTTTTGTTGTTGGTGATGGTTTTCCTTTAAAACATGCTTCTGTTGAATTGTTTGCCCATCATGCCCAAGTGTGGAGGGCAGCATGTCTTCAGAGCAGCGGCTCGATGCCAGGAGGACACAGGGCCTTTTTCTTTCTTCTTTTAAAGAAAAAGCTGGTCTGGAAGTGAGTAGGGTTCCCTTTGAATATGTATCATTGTGCCCACCCATCTGTTTCTGCCCTGCCTACATTCCATCAGGGTGTTTGGGATAGAAACTTGAATGGGAGCGGAAGAAGAGAAGCTGGCTGGCACCGTGGGAGCTTTTCCCTCTCCTCAAGGGCAGGGCATTATTCTGCCTTAGCAGCGCACAGAGAGGCCTTGTAGACAAGAGTGAGATATCAGGAGAAGAGGGAAGTCACTTTTATAGAAGCCAGGTTTCCCTGATCCCAGAACCCCAACATCTCTGACGTCTCCAAAATTTGAACTTTGACCTCTACACCAGCTTCAGCCTTCCACCTTGTCTTCCTCACCAGCCCCTCCAGGTGGAATATCCTTTCCTACACTGGACCTGAGATGACCTCACCTTTTCCTTTGGTTTTAGGCAGCTATATGGATGGCTACTTGTTGCCATAGTGTCTGGCTTCAAAGATGTCCAAAGCTCTCCTACTGAAGAGTCCATTCTCTCTTACAGTCTCTAAGGGCCCTTGTCACCCTTCATAAGAGCAAGCATGGCCCACTTAAGCTGTCTTTTTCTGCCTTTTTGTCTACTGTCATGTTGTAGTTACTCCCTCAAAGAAGATTTATAGATAGTGCTGAGCTCTTTGGGCCTCCAGGCCAACACTTTTGGACTCTGAACTTGAGTAAATGATTACTAGGACCCCAGGGCCTTGTTCCCAGCGTACTTGTATTAACATGCTTCTAGACAGAGATGCAGGACCACTGACCTCTTTCCTGCCCGTCAATCAAGTGGCAAAATGGTCAAATCTGGGAAGGAATTTAGGCACTGAGCGCTGAGAAATAATATGGCTGGTAGCCAAGGTGGCGCATGCTCTTAATCCCAGCACTCGGGAGGCAGAGGCAGGTGGATCTCTATGAGTTTGAGGCCAGCCTGGTTTACCTACAAATCGAGTTCCAACACAGGCTTCAGAAGCTACAAAGAAACCCTGTCTTGAAAAACCAAAAAATAAATAAAACAAACAAACAAACATTGCTGATAGACAGCCAGTGCCAGGACACTTGTAGTCATGGTTTCTTAGGTCGTCAGCATGGTGCTTACTGCCTGTCCAGGGGAGACACTAGACAAGAATGAAACTGTCTCCCCAACAAATCTAGAGAGTATCCTAGCAACATTCTCCATGAGAGCTCCAGAGGGAAGCAACCTACATGTGCCCACTGGGGAAGACTAGGTATACCAGGTGGGGTGGCAAAATAGAACATCCCTCAGCATAAAAGGGGAAGAACACATACTTGTGCCACAGCATGAATGAATACTGTCAAGTGAAAGAAGCCTATTTACAAAGCATCCACCCCACCCCACCCCACCCCACCCCCGGGGTGGGGGAGTGGGGGGCGGGCTGGGACACTGGAAACAGTAATGCTATCAGCCAGGATAGAGTTGAGTCTTGCATTCAAACATCTACAAAATTGCATAGAAGTGTTAGTCAAGTTACTTGGAGGTAGGGCATGAGAATTAGGTTTGTTTTTTTCACAGTGCTTAATTATTTTACATTTTATTTATTTGGGCTGTCTAGTTGGCTCAGTAGGTAAAGGTGCCTACTGCCAAGCCTGGCAACCTGAGTTCCATTCCTGGGGCCCACATGGTGGGGAGAACTGACTCCTACAAGTTGTTGTCTGATCTCTACACGTGTGCTATGGCAGGTACTGACAAAATAAATCCCCAGGCAGGGTAGGGTCCTCAAAGGGGGCTCTGCAAAGTCCACCAAATCTTCCTGTGCCGGTCCTGGGCCCTCCCCCATGTGTCCAGGGCCAGAGTGTAACCCTTCACGTAGGATGGGCTCTCAAAGTCCCTTCGTTCACCACGTAAAAATACTAATCCACCATCAGAGGCTCCCTGGAGTACAGAGGCCTCTTTATTGACATCCATGTTCAGGGGTCTGGATCAGTCTTGTACTGGCCTCCCCGACAGCATCTGGGGCCCATGTGCTCTCCGTTGTTCAGGTCAACTGTTCCTGTGGGTTTCTCCAACCTGGTACAGACCCCTTCGTTCTTCATTCCTCCCTCTCTTCAACTAAATTCCCGATTTCAGCTCAGTGTATATCTGTGGTGGTCTGTCTCTGCTTCCATCAGCCACTGGGTGGGGGCTCTAGTTCCTGGGTTGGTGGGCGGAATGGCCAAAATAAATAGTTTAAAAGAATTTATTTGCATATTGTATGTGTGAAAGTAGACACACAAAAGGCGTGCACATGTGAAGGTCATAGGACAACTTTGTGGAGTTGGTTCTAGCCTTCCACTTTGCTTTTGAAGTGGAGTCTGAGGTTTCTGCCTCTGGGTTAGTTGCTCCAGTTAATTGGCCCAACAGCTTCTGAAGGAGACTCCTGTCTCTGCCCTTCATCTCTCTGTGGGAGTGCTTGGATTACAGAACCATGCCACCACATATGGCCTTGTTTTGTTTTTAAACATGGGTTATGGGAGTGGAACTTGGATCATCAGATTTTATAAGTGAGCACTTTTACCCGATGAACTGTAGTCTCCTGAGCTTTGGTCTTTGTTTATTTGTTTACAATACTGGGGATTGAACCTAATACCTCCTACCCCTACCCTCTTTTTCCTTGTATTTTTGGTTTTGGTTATGAGGTATAACCCAGGCTAGCCTCAAACTCAGCTTATAGCAGAGGATGGCTTTTGACTTGATCACCCTGCCTCCACCTCCGGAATTCTGGGATTAAAGGCATGCACTACCACACCAATTATGTGATATTTGAAATGGAACCAGGGCGTCATGCATTCCAGGCAAGCTCACTACCAACTGAGCCATATTTAGATGGCCTGAGTTGCCCAAGCTACCTTAACCTTGTGGTCCTTCTTCGTCAGCCTCTGAAGCAGCTGCACAACAAGCTTGGGAAACCACTAACAAAAAACAGTGTTTTTAAGGAATAGTGCTGAGTGTGTATCCTGCTTGTGAGAGAGTAGGTTAGTTAGCTCCATGTGATGACTCAGCTTGTTTTTGAGGATATTAACACACATGCCTTTTGACTCATTGTTTCTGTTTCTTAGCATTTATCTAAAGTCATCAGTCAGATTTGTGATATTTGTATTTACGGATATTTGTTATCATGGTTATAAGAAAATTAAAGTTGCCCTGTATGGTGGAGTTTGTTAAACCAGTATTTGAAAAACAGAGGCAGGAGGATTGATGTGAATTTGAGGCTAGCCAGGGCTACATAATTAAACCCTGTCTCAAAAAACATCCTCTATTCCCCCCAGTAAAGGTAATGGGAACAACTGGCCCAGTGACTCCCAATACTGGATCTACATGGTGCTGGAATCATTCTGTGGGTTGGGTTCCAGTATCCTGGGGCAGTGCCAACCAATGGAGTGCTCCATACAGTGGATGCATCCCCATCCATGCTGTCCTATGTAGCATCATCTGGCCACATGCTTATCAGGTGCTGAGATGCCACTGGCACAGTGGGGGAACTGAGGTATTTATTGTGTGTAGACTACATGCTGGCCATTGCACATACCAAGAGCTCATGTGCTGGCTGAGCTATCCTGGAAAGACTGAGAGCATCATCTTTCATGCTATGAGAGCAGGCTAGCAAAGCTTGGTGACAAATGCCTGAAGGCTGAGGCAGGAGAATTTTAAGTGTGGTCCTAGGCTATGGAATACATTCAAAGGAAACTTAGTGAGACCCTGCCTCAGAAAAGAAGGCTGACCGTGTAGCTCAGAGGCACAGCATTTATCTAGAATCCACCAATAACTGACTCGGCAGGGTATGGCTTAGCAGTAAAACTTGACCTAGAATTCACCCTTCCAGTGGGGAGCTTAAGTGTGGCTCAGAGTGCCCGTCTAGTTCCCTGTGAGGCGGTGGGTTCAATCCCCAGCAATACACATATGCATACACACAGTGTTAAGAAGGTGGGGAAAAAAAAACAAGAAAGTAATTATAACTTATGTCCAGAATATACAGAGACCTCTCAGAACTCAGAAAAACAATTCAGAACTTCTAAACAGACAATATTTAGAAAGATCACCCAGGATAGTAACACAAATAGCACATAAACCTGTGAAGATGCTCAGTGTCATTGGCATTGGAGAAACAGAAATTGGACCTCAGGGGGATGCCACTGTACCCTTCCAAGCTTAGCTAACTTGAAGGCTAGCCATGCCATGGCAGGGAAGTTGAGAGTGATGCAGGCACTGTAGAAGTTAGGCAGGTCCTTTTTTTCTAAGTCAAGCAAGTATCTATGGTATGTTGTAAACCCACTAGATATTGACACCAAAAAAGGTAAATGCCTGACCCCACCTGTAACTGTTTATTAGGAGTTCAGCACGGCACCATTTAAAATGACCCCAAGTCAGAGCTAAGCTCTCAGGAGATAAATGGGGAAGTGGATATGTTCATGGCACAGACTACTCCAACAGAGTCCATGCTATGCAAGACCACTGAGCGAAGATGCTAGAGAATACATTCTAGTCCATAACCAGGGCCATTGAGTGGAGGGGCAATGGGGAGCCCAGGAGCTAAGTTTACTTCAGGGTTTGTGGTGATGTTTTCCAAGTGTGTCCCAGTATGGTTTCTTGTGTGTCATACCTCAGCATAGCCATGAGGAAAATTTATGACTTTTACTTTTTCCCCTTTTGTAGGGGGTTGTTTTATTGGGTTTTTGGTTTTGTTGTTGTTGTTGTTGTTTTGTTTTTCAAGACAGGGTTTCTCTGTAGCTTTGGTGCCTGTCTTGGAACTAGTTCCCATGTAGACCAAGCTGGTCTTGAACTAACTCACAGAGATTCACCTGCCTCTGGCTCCCAAGTGCTGGGATTAAAGGTGTGCACCACCATCATCCAACCCATTTTGGTTTTGTTGTTGCTGTTGTTGTTCAGTTTTTTGGTTTTGAGATAGAGTCTCATTCTGTAGCCCAGGATAACTTAGAACTGTGTTACTCAGGCTGGTCTAGAACTTGGAGCAACCCTACTGTCTCAGCCTCCTAGGCTCCAGGATCATAGTGGCAAGCTGCCACACCTAGCCCTCCTTTCTGTCTTGAGGGAACATTCTGAACTTGACTGAAGCTATCTTTGTGGGTTCCCATCTTCTCCCCTCTAGAGAGCCGCCCTGGCCTGGGCTGCCGAGAGCTGGTCTTTAGGAACCTCTCCAAAGTGCTTCCAGCTGTCTGTCGTGATATCACCGACTGGGTGATGGGGACACGGGTAAAGGCGGCACAGCTCTTGCCAGTGCTGCTACTGCACGCAGAGGACCACATCACGCAGCACCTGGAGATCATCCTCAGAACCCTGCAGCTGGCGTGTACCGACGAGGAGAAGGCCGTGGTCAGCAGTGTGAGTGTCCCATCATCTTGCAAGTGGCACAGCTCAGCCCTGTACATACCAATTCTGTGCCCACCAGCTAACTCACCTGCTGCCTGCCCTTCCACCTCCCCCATACCACTACCCTGGCCCTGGCGGGGCCGTCAAAGCAGTTTCACACTTGAGCACACAGGCCATGTGCAGCATGTGGACTTTTGTCCAGGCCCTGCAGTGCTCTGCTTCTGGTGACCAGGCTGTTAGCAGTCAGTTTGCCTAAGAGACCGGTTTCCTCAGCCCAGCCCAGGCACACTCGAGTCATTTCCACACAGAACTCAGCAGGGGGATTGCAGTGTCTTCTTGTATGTTTGCATATGTGTGACCATGTAGTATGTGCACATGTGTGTATGAGTACATGCGCAGTTGTATGCATGCTTATGGAAGCCCAGATTTGACATTGGGTATTAATTGCTGTCCACTTGATTACAGTGTCCCTCACTGAACCTGAAACTCACAAATTCAGCTAGTCTTACCTAGCCAGCTTGCCCCAGGAATCCCCTTTGTCTGTCTTCTGGGTACTGGAGTGGCAGGAAGCTGCCACCCCTTCCCTCCTTTTACATGGGTGCTTGGGATCTGAACTCCGATCCTTGCGCTTGTACAGCAAGCACGTTCATTATGCACTGAGCCCCCTCCCAAGGCCTTATCACAAAACTTGAACTTGTATTCTGTTGGCAGAAAAGGTGACTTTACATCTCTCGATGTGGATGTATGAAGGAGAGGGAGGGAATGGTGAGAAGTACCATGTGAAGGTTGCTGTGTCCATGTGCTCTATGCCTTCCCCTATGTGCTGCCCCTGGCTGCTTGTTCCATGATGCATGTGCAGAGCAGGCCAGGACCCACGAGCTTTGTACTCCTCCAGCCACAACAGCCTCTTCCTGGGCAGCCCTCACTGCTGCCCAGTTCTGTATTGTCATCTGTGAGTATCTTATTAATGGAGCAGCAGTGAGAGGCCTGTGGGCTGATGTTGCAGTGCTCTGCATTTAGCTTCATGGTTTTACATCTCGGCCTTGTCCTTGTTGTTCAATTACCCAAGGTGTAGAAGTACCGAGTGTGTGAATGAGAAGCTTAGGCTGCTGGTATCAGATGAAGCAGGAGAGCCAGACACACTGCTTCAGAATCCTGGCTCCCATTTGCCTTGGTCTCCCCCATGAGAGAAAGGAAGGTCTTGTACACCATGCCCTCTGGCGGGTGGGAAGCCCTGTGTGGCAAGCCCAAGCACCAGCGGAAGCCCTATCTGTAGCCTTGTTTCTAGAACTGTGTGCCTCCCTGTCTTCCTTGCAGTGTGTAAGAGCCGCAGAGCTCATTGGCACCTTCGTCAACCCAGAAGTGTTTCTGAAACTGATCTTAGCCATGCTGAAGAAGGCACCCTCTGCCTCTGGCCTCTTGATCCTCGCATCTGTCATCCAGGGATGCCCCCAGAACACCCTCCAGCCGCACCTCAAGGTCATAGCCACAGAGCTGGCCCAGGAGCACATCTGCCAAGGGTCTGAGAATGTAAGTGGGTACCTGGAAGGGTAGTGGGCACCAGGGCATCCTGGTGCTGGAGAAGAGAGGTAGCCCTACTGGCCACTCTCTCACTGTAACTGCTGATGGTGGCCTGCCCAAGGGCAACAGCACACCCAGATGCCAGTGACTGGGACAGTTTGGGACACACCCCTCTCCCAGGAGAGTCCATCTGGCCTTGCTGCTGTGGGTGGTCATAGGTTGGTGGCATGGGTCTGAGGGAGTCCTGGGTCTACCCTGGAGATGAGGGACTACATACAACATCAAGACTGGATGAACAGAAAGAACACCCTCAGGGATGACCAAGAACTCATTCTGTCACTGTCACTCAGCACCTGAATCCTATGTTTGAAGTAACCACTTGTGGCCTAGCAGACAGGTTCGCTGTAACTAAGCCAGAGCAGCCTGGCCCTCAGCATTACTGCTGGGATATGTTCTGGTTGTTTCTGCTGAGGGCAGAATGAAGGTTGTTGTCTTGGATTGTGTTAGGCATACCCCCTTATCAAGTACCTTAATCCTCTTGATGGGATACTAGGTTCTGCTCACTGACCAACCAACCTGTTTGGGCCTTGATGCACCTGGAGGTGGCTCATCTCTGGCAAAGCTGGGCTGGAGGGAGGGACACTGGCCAACAGAAGTCAGACCTGGTGCTCTGTCCAGCAATTTCTGTTGCCCAAGTAAGAGACTCATGGGTATAGTGCGGAACAATTCTGGCTGTCCTGGAACTCACATTGTAGACCAGGCTGGAATTGAACTCACAGAGTTCGGCCTGCCTCTGCCTCCCAAGTACTGGGATTAAAGGTGTGTGCCGCCACCACCCGGCTTTATAAATCATATTTATGGCTTGCCTGTTACTGCCATTCTTACTTATTCTGTGCCCTACAGAACCTGTGGAATAGACATGGTGAGGAATGATAAAGGATACGAATTTTTGCCTTCCTACAACCCATGGCCAGTTCTTCACAGGCTCCCACTGGTCACCCAGCCATGGTTCTGTAGCAAATGCACCTGAAGCCAGAGGAGCCAAGTATGGGCAGCTTAGCCTTGGGTACTTATGTCAATCAGAGAGCTTGTGGTGCAAGCTAGACAAGCACTCTACCAGCTAAGCCCTAACCTTGGCTCCTCTGTAGGTATTTTAAGTGGGTCTAAGATACACAGTCATTTCCACAAATATATGTTCCTGGTTAAATGTGAGGTTTAGGGGTTTTGTTTTTAGGGTTTTTTTTTGTTGTTGTTGTTGTTGTTCCTATGTGGCCCAGGTTGAAATAACTGCAATGTAGCTGAGTTTGGCCTTGAATTCCTGATCTCCCTGCCTCTACCTCTTTGATACTGGGATAACTAGCCTGTGAATGAAGAATAAAATGAAAGGAGGACATGACTGCTCCTAAGAGGTTGAGGTTTTTTATTATAGATACAAAGGGAGCAGAGGCAGAGATGTCTGGGAGAGTCCAGAATGAACATGACCGGCAGACTAAACCAGGTGATGTGGGTGGGGGAGCCAGGGGGCCAAAAGGCCAGCATAGTCAAAAATGGCTGGGTTATATAGGAATCAGAGAAGCCAAGGGGGGGGGGCAGCCCAGTCTCTGGACTGGAGAGTTTAGGGTAGAGGGCAGAGTATGCTGTCCAGAATATGTCAGAATGCTGAGAGAGACTGTTCTCTCTCACCTAGGAAGGCTGAAATTCCACAGGCTTCTTTTTGCATTCATGTCCTTTGCCATTCCTCTACCATCTGTATTTCGCAGGTTCCACAGAGCACAGAATAAACAGGAGTGGCATTATTTTTAAGTTTTAAGATACCTGTGAACTGGGCTGGAGAGATGGCTCAGCGATTAGGAGCACTGGCTGCTCTATCAGAGGTCCTGAGTTCAATTCCCAGCAACCACATGGTGGCTCATAACCATCTGTAATGAGATCTGGTGCCCTCTTCTGGCCAGATCTGTAGGGATGCATGTGTTGTATGTATGACAGAACACTGTATACATAATAAATAAATAAATCCTAGAAAAAAAAAAAAAAAAGCCAGGCATTGGTGGCACGTGCCTTTAATCCCAGCACTCAGTAGGCAGAGGCCTACTCTGAGTTTGAGGCCAGCCTGGTCTACAGAGTGAGTGCCAGGATAGGTTCCAAAGCTACACAGGGAAACCCTGTCTAAAAAAAAAAAAACAAAAAGAAAAGAAAAAGAGATATCCAATAACACTTCACAAAATATAATATTGGGGGGCTGGGGTTTAAGACAGGGTTTCTCCATGTAGTCCTGGCTAGCCTCAAACTCAGAGATCTGCCTGCCTCTTCCTCTAAGTGCTGGATTAAAGGCATGCACCACTACCACCTGACTCTATAAAATGTATTCTCAATCCCTCTGTAGCTTCCCTTCTGGACCACCTGTACCCTTCTTGGTGGATGTGCTCTGGTCAGGGCCTGGCAGTCCGAGGGGGGCGGCGGGTAGTGGTGATGGCAGCAGCTCTTCTTGCTCTAGTCGCATGTGTGGGCCTCACACTGGCAGTGGGCTGCGGATGGAGGGATACTGATTCCCACCAGTCTCTTCCAGAGTCTCTACCTGGAACATCTGCTGCTGTGTGTGCAGGCTTTGCTGTCTGTGTGTCGGGAAGACTGTCGTGCCGCCAGCCTGCAGCTCCTGGAGGTGCTGGTGACAGTAATGGCAGTCTCAAGTGCCGTGGGCCTTTGGAAGAAGGTAAGGCTAACAGCACCCTACAGCTACAGTCTTCACAGGAAATGTCGATGTCTTCTTTCAGTTGAATTCCATGCCTGGGGCAGGCTTGACGAGCAAAAGTGAAAGAATTCAGAGCATTTAGAAGGAGTCACTCACAAGGTGGCCTCAGGGAGTGTCCCCTCCACCTACAGACCTGTCTGTCTCCTATCTAAGCATGAAGGCTGTTTAATATTGGGACCCTGAGCCCCTAGCACTCCCCTCCCCCAAATCTACTGAGGCTTCAAAGCATTCCTGTGTAGCCGAAAGCTGTAGAGAAGGCTGGTGGCCGTCCTGCGGTAATGGCAGCCCAGCCCAGCATTTGGTGTTATTTCTGTCCCCTTGACTTATAGTTAAGCTTTTAATTTTTGTTTTGTTTTTGAGATAGACTTATTGCATAGCACAGGCTAGCCTTAAACTTCTGAAGACAAGCTTCCTGTCTGAGAAAATAAGGTGGAAAGTGACTGAAGTAGACACTCAGTGTCAGCCTTGGTCTCCACATGCACATGTGTATATAGCCTCATGGACACATACACACCCATGGACACACACATCCCACAGACATAACACATCTTTACCATCCCCATGGGCCTCAAGAGCCGATGGGACCAGATGCTGCTTCATCAGGGTGAGCCCAGAGCAGGGCTTTCAGCCACCTTCATGGTCCTGCAGAAGGCTTGGGTGTCCTGTGGAGTCCCGCCTAAAAGAGCCTTTCCCCCTCTTTTGTTAGAGACTTTCTCAATTAGAATTCTTCTCTTTGAAGACAACCTTTGCAGAGGGTATGTGTCATATGTCATCAAAGACAGCTTGTCACTGATAGAGCTATAAATTCTAGCAGAGCTGTGCCTGCAGGCCACAGGAAGGAAGCCAAGCCCATGAGGTCAGGAACAGAGATACAGCCCCCTGCCCAAGCCCCAGATGTCAGGGACTGCCTAGTGTATTAAATCCCAGGAGGTAGCTGTGCCTCTCTCCTTAGCTGCCCATTAACTTTTGTGGGCAGAGCTGCCAGCAGGTTGTTTTTACCTTGAGATCTGGTCTGAGAGCTAAACGAAGGAGAATGAGGGCAGCCATGGTTTTATGGTTTTGGAGATTTAGGTGGTGGTTTCATTGTGTGTGTATAGGATGTTCTGGGATGGGACCCAAGGTCTTGCCTATATTAGGTGTGTACTATGCACTGACATGCATTCCCAACCCCAATTCCCTTTAGTAGTTTTGTTGTTTTGTTTGGGGGTGTTGTTTGTATTATTTTAGGGGTGTGTGTGTGTTACGATAAATATTTCTGCCAAAAGCCGCTGAGCCCCATCGCCACGTGTAAGCTTTTCGCCAGCCGCCCACCTGAGTTAGGGCCCAAATGAATACATAGAAAGTTGTATTAGGTACAAAGCTGCTTGGCCAATGACTAGGATTCTCATCTGCTAGCTCAGTCTTAACTATCATAAATCTATATATGTTATAAGACTTATCTTATTGGACGCCTTAATGGCGTCCCTCCTTGTTGTGGATCACATCGTGCCGCAGGAGCAGGAGCGGAGGGGAAAAGAGGGCCCTTCCTGTTTCTCCTTCGCTTAAATATGAGTCTCCTTGCTATGTCACTTCCTGTCTGGATCAACACTTCTCTACTACATTTCCCATAATCCTCTTTGACTCCTAGTCCCGTCTACTTGCTGTCTCATTGGCCCAACAGTATTTTATTTAACAATGAAAAAGATAAACATACACAGAAGTACTTCCTCCATCATCTCCTCTTTTCTGTCTAAATAAAAAGGATAACTTATCTTTTATAATAACTGAAGAAAACTATAACTATCTGTCTTCAACTCTATCAAAGACTACAGAAGGATAATATATAAACTCTAGAATTGACAGAGACATCTTGCTATCTGGTCAGTCACCCAAAGTTCCTCTGTGATGTTGGGGCATCCATCTTCAGCCTATAGGCCATAGTGTGTCTAGCACACTTCTCCATTTCAACAGGAACCGTTTAGTCCTGTCTTGTTTTGTAAGTTTAGCAGTCACTTTCTTGTGGGTCCTACATGTCCAGTTTAGACAGCAACAAACATTCCAAGCAAGAGCAGTTTCTTGCTCAAATGGCTAATCTTGCCATGTTGAAAGCAAACTCCATAATGAGTTTCTTTGATGCCCATCCTCCTTTCTGACATAATTGGTGTGCCAGGAGCAGTTGTGTCTTACTGCCAAAAAAAACCCTACACCATGTAAATGCCATATTTCTGTAGGTCTTTGAAAGGTTTGAGGAATACCTAAATATCTCAAATACATCTCTGTATATCTAGAAAACCTAACTAACCTAATTATAAGTTCTGACTATTATAGGTAAAAGATCTGTATAAACAATACCTAAACAAGAGGAGACATATCACAAAATTGACCTTAAAGTTGTATCAATAAATGGAAATCTATACCAATACAAAGTATTCATTCCTATATCCTATTCCCCTTTTATTTATTTAAAAAGAGATTGACTATGTTTATTATTTATAACTAACCCCATTTAAATGAAAACAAACATTTATAAACAATATTTGGGATATGGGCGTCCTTTTTAAACTGCTTTCTGTTGATTGGGGACGATGTTTAGATACCATAGGGATCATGATAAAACATAGAAACCCGACCAAGTCCTTGTTTTTGTAGTCTGTAAGACTGTATCGTCTCAGCTTTAGGGGGTCTTGCTTCATCAAACCATATTAGTCTGGAAGGAATCCACAGCTTTTTATTTTCTGTGGAAATACAAGCAAAACCTTTATTTCTAAGTAGCCTGTCCTTAGACATAAATTTTGAAGTCAAAGCATTTTAAAAATGTGTAAGTTGGATCAATTTAGCAGCAGTAATTCTTTCCTCAGCAATCAAACAATTTAAAGACAACAGTATGGCATTTAGTATCCAAATTTTCTGTATATTTTTCATCTCTAGCTGTCTTTTTTATTATTCTACTTTTACTTCCTTTTGTTTCTTTTTTTCTGAGACAGGGTTCTATGTGGAAATCCGCCTGTCTCTGCTTCCTTTAGTAAATGCTACTGGCGTTGGCCATCATAACCAGCTACTATATTTCTTTCTGTTATTTTTTCTCTCACAAGCCCATATATATTTTTAAATGTAGTGTAAACATTAAGTGGTTTTTCTTTATCTGGATCTGTCTTTATCATCTTAGGAGTGTCAAGTCCAACGCCCAAGAGCGCAAGAACGGTGCAAGCATATGGAAGCTGTTACAATGCTTCTCAGCAGCCTGACAGGGCAGGCTGTGGCGGCAGGTTTTTTTCTTTCTCTGGAAACCTTGGGGCATGGGGTTATCCCACTCATTGACACCATTCTGTTATGATAAATCTTTCTGCCAAAAGCTGCCTGAGCCCCACTGTCATGTGAGCTTTATGCCAGCCGCCCATCCGAGTTAGGCCCAAATGAATATACAGAAACTTGTATTAGGTTTAAAGCTGCTTGGCCAATGACTAGGATTTCTCATCTGTTAGCTCAGTCTTAATTATCATAAATCTAAATCTATATATTTTATAAGACTTATCTTATCGGAGGCCTTATTGGTGTCCCTCCTTGCCGGTGGCTCACATCCTGCCGCTGGAGGAGGCGAACAGGAAAAAGGGCACTTCTTGTTTCTCCTTCTTCTTCTTCTTCACTTAAATATGAGTCCCCTCGCTATGTCACTTCCTGTCTGGATCGCATTTCTCTACTACATTTCCCAGAATCTTCTTTGACTCCTAGTCCTGTCTACTTGCTGTCTCATTGGCCAAACAGTATTTTATTTAACAATCAATAAGATAAACATACACAGAAGTACTTCCCCCAGTGTGTGTGTGTGTGTGTGTGTGTGTGTGTGTGTGTGTGTGTGTGTGTGTGTGTGTGTGTGTGTTTGCATGTTTGCATGTGGGTATGAGCACAAGTGCCCTCAACGGCCAGGGATATTGAATCCCTAGAACTGTATTAACAGATGGTGTGAGCTGCCTGACGTGGGTGCTGGGAACTGAGCTCAGGACCTATGCAAGAGCTGTACATGCTCTTAGCTATTGAGCCATCTCTCCAGCCATGAGTTTTTATTTTTTAAACAAGGTCTTGCTATATAGCCGAGGCTGACTTTGAACTCTTGATCCTCCTGCCTTAGCCAGCTGTGTGCTGAATCACTGATAAGACTATAAACTGTAGCAGTTTCTTTTTTTCTTTTTTTTTTTTTTTTCTTTCTTGTGTGTGCATGTGCATGCAAGTATGCAGGTCTACACATATGCATGGAGGCCAGTGTCATTCCTCTGGCACCATCCACTTTGTGAGTTTTTTCTTTATCTTTTATTTTATCTTTTTAAAGGGTTTTTTAATTTGTGTATGTGTACATGAGTGCAGTATCTGAGGGCAGAAGAGAGCTTTGGATTCCCTGGAGCTAGAGTCATGAGTGGATGTGCCCCACCCATCATGAATGCTGGGAACTAAGTTCGAGTCCTCTACAAGAGTAGTATGTGCTCTTAATTACTGAGCCATCTTTCTAGCCTTACCTTGGTTTTTGTTTTTGTTTATTTATTTGACACTCTTTTATTGGCCTACCAAGTAGGGCCAGGCCAACAACACTCCCACCCCTCCCCTGTCATTTTCTCTGCATTGCTGAAATTACAGGCGTACACTACCATGGCTGGCTTCTTGAGATCAAATTCGGGTCTTCATGCTTGCAAATAGCTGAGCCACTCTGCCCCATCCGCCAGTGTCTTTAAGACTACTTTGCCCTTGTCCATGTGTGGTCAAGCCTCTGCTAGCACTCATACACACACGCACACGAGTGTGCACACACATCTGGGCTCCTTGAGTGGATGAATTTGTGTCTGTTACTATTTGCTATACAAACACACAGACAAAGGCAAATCTATATATGAAAGTGTTGTAGAGAGGGCATGTGGGCCTGCTGCAGCCCTGCTGCCTGCTCATTGGAGGGCTTCTGTTATATAGACCTGCCTCCTGGTCAGGTGTTTCTGTTTAGCAGGTAGTTCCTGTATGTCATGGACCTCAGATGACAAGAAAATCTCCAAGAATGTTAACCTTTAAAAAGTGGACTCTAAAGCGGGGCAGTGGTGGTGCCCGCCTTACATCCCAGCACTCAGGAAGCAGAGGCAGGCGGATCTCTGAATTTGAGACCAGCCTGGTCTACAGAGGGAGTTCCAGGATAGCCAGGGCTACACAGAGAAACCTTAACTTGAAGAAGAAAAAAAAGTAGACTCTAGGGTGCCAGTGAGGGGGCTCGGCAAAGTAAAGCTACAAGCCTGACGACCTGAGTGTTATCCCTGGAATCCACATGATGGAAGAAGAGAACTGACTCCTTCAAGTCATCTTCTGACCTTCTCACGTGCACGTGGCATGCATGCCCTCTTCCCCACAAAGTAAATCAATAAACATAAATGAAAAGAGAAATGGGCCTCAACTAGAACTCGGTTGGAAGAGTGTTTTCCTAGTATGATAGAGCATAAAGTGAGTGTGGTGGCACACACCTACAGTTCCTACTCAGAAGGTAAGAGGGGCAGGAGTGTTAGGAATTTGAGTTGTCTTTGGCAATATAGTAAGTCGGAGGCCACCCTGGCTTACATAGATCCTTTCTCAAAAAGCCCCCTCAAAAAAGAATTTTTAATTTAAAAATTTGACTGGTCCCAACCTTTGTATATCCTTTTCTAGGCCCAGAAGACCATGGACACACTGGCTGAGGTGGAGGACATCCCCAGCAGTCAGGACCTCTACCGCAAGCATGTGGGTGCACTCCTGGAAAGGCTGACAGCCTCGCATGGCGAGTGGACAGTGCACTCTGTGCAGTTGCTGAAGTTCACTGTGGTCCTCACCCAGGCAGGTGAGCCTCAGGACACTGGCCTGCCCAAGCCAGGCTGCAGCTGCACCATCCTCACCATCATGAGCCACAGAACCTGGGCTTGAGCCAGGCCTAGTTTTTGTTTGTGTGACAGGGTCTTGCTACATAGCTCAGGATGGTCTCAAAGCAGTTCTACTCCTACCTTGGCCTCCCACATGTTGGAGTCCCACCCCTTCTTTTGCATCCTTCAGATACTTCTGTTTTACGATATTATTTAGCATCTCCAGATACATTGGCATGTGGCCCTGAGACCTCAGTGTTCCTCTCAGTTCTCACGGAGGCTCTGTGCAAGTGAAAAGAATTGCTTTATAATCCTTAGTGGGGTTTTATTTTTAGTTTGTTTTTAATATTTTAATGTCAGGTGGTCCAGCTCCCTTCACAAATCCCACTTGAGCCCCCAGCTCTGGGGAAGAGAGGCTGTAGATACAACAGGCATAGCCCCCTTCCCATGCTCCAGCAGCCCAATATGGCAGATGACACAGTGTCCTTTGTAGTTATGGCAGAAGGTATAGTTTGCTTCAGTTTTTCAGAATATGAACAATTCAGAAAGCAGAGATGACTGAAGCAATGGCTCAGTCAAGTTCTTACAGCACAAGCATGAGGATTTGTGTTCAATCTCCAGAGCCAGTCATAAAAAGCCAGGTGTGGCACTGGAGAGATGGCTCAGCAGTTAAGAGCACCTGCTGCTCTTGAAGAGGACATAAGTTTGGTTTCCAACACCCACACAGTGGCTCACAGCTGCCTGTAACTCCAATTCCAGGTGATCCAGTGCCCTCTTCTGGCCTCTGCAGGCACCAAACACACACATAGTGCACATACATACATTCAAAATAGTCATACATACAATAAAACAAATATTTTTAAAAGCCAGACACAATGTCATGTTCTTGTGATCCTGGCACTGGAGAGGCAGAGACAGGAGGATCTATGGGTCTTGCTGGCTGGCCAGGCTACGTGACTGGGACCCATAGGTGCTGTGAGACAGGCTGTCTTGAAAAACGAAGGAAGTGAAGAGCACTTGAAGAAAACACCTGATATTGAACTCTGGCTTCCACATGTACACACCCACACCAGGAAATGACAGCAGAGCCGGATGGTGGTGCCACACGCCTTTAATCCCAACACTGGGGAGGCAGAGGCAGGCAGATCTCTGTGAATGCTAGGCCAACCTGGTCTACGAATCGAGTTCCAGGACAGGCTCCAAAGCTACAGAGAAACCCTGTCTCAAAAAACTAAACCAGGGAGGAGAAGGTAGGAAAGATAAGAGAGCAGAAATGGTGAGCTCATACAGCAAGCCATCTCATACCCTGAGAAGTCCTGCTGTGCTGACTGAGGTTGCCTCTGGGCCTGTGAGTGCATATCATGGGAAGGTCCTTCCACATTCCTCAAGACCCTTTTCACCCTTGGCCTGTGTGAGTTGCAGCGGGGCCCTTTGTGCTCAGTTGGGCTGCGAGTAAGCAGTATTGCTGTAGTTCTGGTGTGGTCTCCAGCTCTGCCACACTCAATATAGTATGTACTCTCCTTTCAGGTTGGCCCAGATCCCTCTGGAGACCATGTCCCACCACCCCCTAGACCCTAAGCTCCTGGGTCTGCTTGGTGCTTGGGAGGTGGGTTATGGGCATGAAAACCCACACTGGGGGCCTTTAGAGTCTTTTGCTTTGACTTAACTGAGATGTAAAGACCAGAAGTACAAGAAGGACTCATTTAAGGCAACAGCTCCTCCCATCCCTGTCAACATTGGTGATAACAGCACTGTAACAGGGGCTGGTGTCAGACCAGAGCACTGGCTGGCACACTTGTTGGCATTGACCAATGGCAGAATAAACCCAGGGGTCAAGCTAGGACCATGGGCAGAAACAGGAGCTCAGGGTGCAGCTCCATGCCCTGCTTCAAGTCTTTGTCCCCCAGAAAAGCTGGACCTGCACTACTATAGAGCACATTTCTCTGGATGGTTTTGTTTTGTTTAGAAGACAGGGTCTCGTGCCGCCAAGGCTGGCCTCAAGCTTACTATATAGCTGAGGATGAACCTTGAAGTCATCCTCTTGCCTCCTCTCCTAAGTGCTGGGATTACAGGTTTCCACCATCATGCCCACTTATTCAGTGCTGGGCTGGATCCCAGGCTCCCAAGTGTGCTCGGCAAATACTACAACCATGGAGGTATAGCCCCAGCCCCTCACTAGGTGGATTTTATCTTGAAAGGCATTTTGCTTCTCACAGAAGTTCAGGTGGGAATGTCAGCTTCCCTCTCCTCTGTATCTACTTTGTTTGGTTTTTCGAGACAGGGTTTCTCTATGACTTTGGAGGCTGTCCTGGAACTAGTTTTTGTTTTTGTTTTTGTTTGTTTGTTTTTTGTTGTTGTTGTTTTTTGTTTTTTTTGTTTGTTTGTTTTTGTTTTTTTTGGTTTTTCGAGACAGGATTTCTCTGTGTAGCTTGGGAGCCTATCCTGGCCCTCGCTATGGAGCCCAGGCGGGTCTCGAACTCACAGAGATCCACCTGCCTCTGTCTCCGGATTGCTGGGATTAAAGGTGTGGGCCACCACCGTCCACAGGACACTTGGTTTTTATTTAGAGTGCTGGCTCATCAGCTGCAGGCTTCCAGACATCTGTCCTTTGATGTTAACGGAGTCTGGGCAAACCCCTGGCACTTGCCTGTGCTGCTTGGAGCAATCCTCTGGCACTCCACCATTCGGGAGGGAACCTGCTTGTCTCATCAAGCCAACAGCTGCTTTTCCCAGTTTCCCTTCTCTTCCTCAGACCCACACAGCTTCAGGTAGACAAAGCTGCTGCCCCCTTACCCCTAGCCATTTCCACTGTACAGACCCTGGACACATTGGTTTGAGAAACCGCATCTCGAAGCAGGAGATTTAGGTGACTTGGCTCTTTGTCCAGGTGTAAAATTAGCAAACTGTGTCTGGGTTTATGCTAAAATAGGGCAAAAGAAGGCACAGCTGGGAAGTGTTTGGGGGCATGTTCTGGCATGTCAACCATATATGACCAACTCTAGAGGCTGTACAGTTCCAATCACTAGGCAGTGAGCCCTCAAGTAAGAAGTTGCCTCATGACGTCTTTGTGACCCTGGGGGAAGGGTGAGGGAGAAGGGAGCAGGTCTCATCTCTTCCATACAATAAGGCTTAAGAAATGGTGGGCAGGCAAGCTTTTCGTGACTGATTTTGGTGCGTGTTTTCAGAAATTTCTTGACTTTAGATTTGCGAGTTTGGTAAGTAGGCCTGTGAGGATAGCTCTGTCTCTAAAGTGCCTGCTTTGCAAGCTTAAGAGTCATCCCTAAGCTCTTGTAAAACTGCCAGGCATCTTCTTCTTGATTTGATTTGTTTTTTCAAGAAAGGGTCTTTCAGTATAGCCTTGGCAGTACTGGAACTTTCTGTGTAGACCAGGGTGGCCCCAAACTCTGATTCACCTGCCTCTGCCTCCTGAGTGGTGTGATTAAAGGCATTTTCACCACAATTGTGTAATCCATTGGATAGAGGCAGGCCAATCCCTGGGGCTCAATGGCCAGCCAGGCCTGTGAGAGACCCTGGCTGAAAACAAGAAGATGGATGGCCACTAAGGAACTATTGGAGGCTAAGGTATTGTCTCGAGTTCAGAGCCAGTCTAGGCTACAGAGTAAAATCCTGTGTCAAAAGAAAAAGAGAGCTAGACAAATGGCTCAGCCATTAAGACCTCTCCCAGCACTTAGGAGGCAGAGGCAGGTGGATCTCTGAGTTTGAGGCCAGCCTGGTAATGAGTTTCAGTAGATGGTGAGACCCTGTCTCAGAAAACCAAAAAGAAAAAGAAAAAGTTTGGAGGTTGTAAAGAAAAGCCAAGTTTGTGTCTTGGTCACATGATAAGGGGTTAATCTTTGGTTAGTGTCCTCAGCAATTGGGAGAGCATCATGGCAGGAGCAGGAGCCAAAGCACTGAGGCTTCCAGGGCAACATCCCCAGCACTCCTGCTCCTGTCTCCTACCAAGTCAAAGAAGCCCGGCAAGCCATCAGCTTGCTGCAGCCCCTTCCCTCTTTTTTTTCCAGGCCCAGCTGTCGGAGAAGCACTGCAACATGTGATTCCCACCCTCAGAACCTGTCTCCAGCCCACCACAGACCCGCACATGCGCCTGAAGCTCTTCTCCATCCTGTCCACGATGCTGCTGAGGCCTAAGGACACTGTTGACTCTCAGGGGTAGGTCAGGCCTTAGGACTGTGTAGAGCCCACATGAGTGTTGGATGGGTCCCCCATCTTCCCATGCTGCCCTGGGCAGGGCCCCCGAGGGCTAAGGTGCAAGCTTCTTGGTGGTCTGTATCCATAGCATCCACCCTGCTAGGTAAACAGTGGGCTTAGTGAGTGCACCACAGAGACACAGGCAGTAAATCAAAGTCACTGTAGGGGAGTCATTAAAATTCCATTGAGTGAGAAAGTTTTAGGGCACATTAACTATTAATGGCTTCTGTATCAGCTGTTCTGGTTTAAAAGCCTTTTGGTACCTTTCAGACCTAACAGACATGACTGAATTAGCATTGATGGTAAGGCTTAGGGGCAGCTTTCTGTTATCTCAGAAGAGCTCAGAGACAGCATTGCAGCCTAATAGCCTCCAGTTTTATGGCTTTGAAGCAAAGGAAAAGTCGAACAAAGAACTTAGGAAAGAACAGGCTCTGGGTGATTGGGGAGCAGCCCATGTCCCAGAAACTCATCCTGGAGAAGACCACACACACACACACACACACACACACACACACACACGGGTTGGGGGGGAGGAGAGAGAGATTAAAAATATTGCTTTCCTTCATATATTGGGCAGAATATAAGATTAAAGTCATGCTGGGACCTCCCAAGGCAACCCTGGGTCTTGAAGATGTAGACCTGAACACTTTGGCCCCGGTTAAAGACAAGGGTACACCTCTCCTATGTCCCTCAAACAAATCGAACATCACAAAGTGTGGTCAGCACTTTCCCTGTGACTTGGTCATTCTAACCTTTCCCCTTCAAATGCACTCCTAGTGTGGGGCTGGCTGCCAGCCTCTCATACTGCAGGAAATTCTGTTTCCTGCTATCTGCAAAAACCTCAGGGCTGAAAAGGGACCATAAAAAGCTATTAATGAACATCTTGGCAGCAGGCCACTGAGCCGGCGTATACATAGGATTGAGTGAGTGCATGGCAGCCTGGGCTGCCACTGGTCTGTGGCCCTCTCCACATGCAGCCCAGTGTACTGAGGAACAACAGCCGCCCCTGACCCACAAACACAGCTGCCAGGTTTGGGCCAGGTTCCCAAAGACCTCTCAGGTGATGAAGTCAGTCTAGAGAATCCATTTGTGCAGACGAGTTACTGAGAAAATTGCTACTGTTTGGGTAGTGATGGTTTGAAAATGACATTGTCTTACAGTTTCTATTGCTGTAATGAAACACCATGACCAAAAGAAATCTGAGGAGGAATTTATTTCGCTTACAATTTAAGGTAACAGTCCATCAACCACTGAGGGAAGTCATGTCAGAACCCTGGAGACAGGAGCTGATGCAGAGGCCATAGAGGGGAGCTGCTTACTGGTTTGCTCCTCATGGCTTACTTAGCCTGCTTTCTTGTTTTGTTTTGTTTTTTGAGACAGGGTTTCTTTGTGCCTTTGGAGGCTGTCCTGGAACTAGCTCTTGTAGGCCAGGCTGGTCTCAAACTCGGAGATCCTCCTACCTCTGCTTCCCGAGTGCTGGGATTAAAGGCATGTGCCACCACTGCCCTGCTCAGCCTGCTTTCTTATAACACCCAGGACCAACAACCCAGGGATGGCCCGTCAACCACTAATTAAGAAAATGCCTTACAGGTTTGCCTACAGCCAAGCCTTTTGGAGACAGTTTTTCAATTTATGGTCCCTTTCTCTCAGCTGACTCTAGCTTGTGTCAAGTTGACCCAAAATTAGCCAGCATGAATATCATTTGGTTTTGATTTGTAGATTACAAAATGATAGAGTAAAAGGTTATCCAGGCAGGGCTCAGTCTGGCAGCTCAAGCCCCTGCTAGGGTTTAGAATTCCCAACCTAGGGAAGGCCATGTAGAAATACATAAATTAGTAGTTATGGGTTAAGACAAAGCTGCTGGGCGTTGGTGGCGCACGCCTTTAATCCCAGCACTCGAGAGGCAGAGGCAGGCAGGCGGATCGCTGTGAGTTCGAGGCCAGCCTGGTCTCCAGAGCCAGTGCCAGGATAGGCAACAAAGCTACGCAGAGAAACCCTGTCTCGAAAAACCAAACCAAAACAAACAAACAAAAAAAAAAAACAAGAATTAAGACAAAGCTAGCCAATAAGAAGCCCTAGCCATCAGCCAGCAGTTAATGATTAATATAGTGTCTGTGTGCTTTTTGGGGGCTGAAGGGCAGTGGGACTTTGTGGAACACAACAAATTAGTCCCCATAAACTCATAGGAAGTGACACTATCGGGAGATATGGCCTTGTTGAAGGAAGTGTGTCACTATGGGGGCAGGCTTTGGGGTCTCTTTTGCTTAAGCTTTGCTCAGTGTCACAGTCTACTTCCTGTTGCCTTCTGATCAAGACATAGCTAGCCATGTCTGCTTGCAGGCCACCAAGCTCCCTGCCATGATGATAGTGGATTAAACCTCTGAAACTGTAGCCACCACCTCAATTAAATATTTTCCTTTATAAGAGTTGCCATGGTCATGGTGTCTCTTCACAGCAATAGAATCCCTAACTAGGACAACCGTGGTTGAGTGTGTTCAAGCCAGACCATCCTAGTTAAGTTTTCCTTGTTCACCTGCTCCCTTCCTTGCTCAGCTCACAGATTTTCAGCCTCCAGAAGAGGCCCCAGCTGTTGTTGGGAACTTCTTCATAAGTTGGTGCTCTTTTGCCTTGGGTCTTCTCATGTGCCTCTCACCTGGCCTCCCTACACATCAGTCTAGTTTCATTCCCAAACTGCAATGTGTCCTTCCTCACTGGCCCTCTTGTTCCAGACAGTTCCATGGCTACTTGGAGATGGTAGTGAATGACATCCTGGCCCCCAACTTGCAGTGGCATGCAGGGAGGACGGCTGCAGCCATCCGGACAGCTGCCATATCCTGTCTGTGGGCACTCACCAGCAGTGACGTCCTATTGGCCAAGCAGGTAAGGACATCTGTGGCCATCCATTCTAGTTGTTTGTCTACCGGGTACCATGAGACTGTGCAGAGCTGGGTCTTTCAAGTAGCAGTGGGGGAAATTCTAAGGGAAGCTGAGACCTGGGGGGGTAGGTCGAGGCAGGGCCTAGGTCTCAGTGCCCTGGTTGTCACAGGTGCCATCTCCTTGAAGGATCTGGGATCTGGTCTCTGCCCTAGGTTTACAAACTTAGTTTCTTGTCTTTTTACTATGATGACATATGCTGACAAAAGCAACTCAAAGGGAATGGGCTTTTTCTGGGTGACAGGTAAAGTTACAGTCCAAGGCAGTGGAAGCTTGAAGCAACTCATCATGTCCACAGTCCAGAAGCAGACAGTGCATGGTGGCGAGTGCCTTTATTTGGGAGGTAGAAGCAAGTAGATTTCTGAGTTTAAAGCCAACTTAGACTACGTAGCTATTTCCTTCTTTGTGTAGGCTGACTGTATGCTGTCCAAGGTTATATAGTGAGACCCTGTCTCAAACAGAGAAAATAGACCACAGTGAATATATCTGCTGCTCAGCTCACTTTCTCCATTTTATATCACCAGGACCACAAAGACCTGGGATTGGTCCTGTCCACAATAAAGATGGGTGTTCCCATATCGAATATTCTTTAAGTTTTTTTTCCTAATATGTGTATGTCAGCACTCAAAACATTTCCAGCTGGGAGTTGATCTTAGAAAGGTCTGGAGACATTTCCTATTGCTTGTTTCATCCTGGGTCTTCAAAATCAAGTGTATTTTGCAGCTGCAGTGAATTGTGATGTGACTCTGGCTGGCCATGACTCCCAATGCGTGGCAAGTGTATTGGACAGTGCTGATGGTGGGGGTTAGCAACAGATCTCAGACTTACAACCTGGGTTTGAATCTTGACCCACCACTTAACTTCTCTATGCTCTGGTTATCTGTCTAAAATGCTCCTTTGACTCTTAATGGCTAGTATAAAGAATAATAGGATTTTCCAAGGAAAGCCTCAGCACCATGTCTGACATAGTGGGAGCTAGACGCCCATGTGCCAGGCATTGTTTTATAATTTACATGGTTAACACTTAGACAGCTATAGAGTCAGGACTAAGAAGATGACATGCCATCATGAGCACCTGAGTTTGGATCTCCAGCATCCATGTTTAAAAAAAAAAAAAAAAAGGCATAGTCTCATGGGTCTATAACCCTGGCACTGGGAGGGCAGAGACAGACCCTGGAGTTCACTGATGAGCCAGTCAAAGCCAGTCGGTAAGCTCTGGTTTTAGAGATCCTGTGATCCTGTGTCAACATCTACAGTAGAGGCTGGAGAGATGGTTCAGTGTTTCAGAGCCCTTCCCCTCTTACAGGGGACCAAAGTTTGGTTTCTAGCACCCATGTCTGGTGGCTCACAATCACCTATAACTCCAGGGGATCTGACACCCTCTTCTGGACTCTGAAGGCATGCCCATGGTACACATACAGACAAGCAGGTGTGCGTGCAAACACATACACACACACACACACACACACACACACACATATGCGCACGCGCGCACGCGCACGGGAGGAATTGGGGAGAAAGATGGAAAATGATAATGGAAAATGCCTGGTGTTGATTCCTAGCCTCCGTAAGTATGTGTACACATATGCATTATGGCTGCTACAACTGAACACATAATGTAGCATGTATTATTGAAGATTGGTGCCAAAGCAAGTTCTCCATCTGATACTGGTTCAATGGTCTTCTAAGTCACTGTCAATTTCTAGCAACACAGACAAAATAGCTGGGGGTGGCAGGCCAGACCTTCCCTGCTATTAGTGTGACTAGTGAAGTGAATCAGAAGACTATGGAACTATAGAGAACTGATGCTTCTGCTTCTGCCCAGGGAATGCAATCCCAGAACTGTGACAGGCCTCTCTGCCAGCCACTCACAGTGTATGCACGCCCCCTGCTGGCAACAGAAAGTTATCTCATTCTCACTCCATATGAGTAGGTAGAGTTTGAGAACTTCAACTGATCAAATTAAAACAGAAATTGTTAAGATGATCTGAAATTCAGAGTCAGGATCTGGACTAAGGAACACTGGCTCTTAGAGAATGAAGTCGTTCTGATCCTAGATAAGCTAAGAACAATTAAAATGGCAGGCAAAATCTCACTTTGTCCTGTGATTCCACCTCCCCACTGGGTGCCCTAGCCTGTCAGCCCCACCATCATCCCTCGGCCCTGCTCTCTTTATTTATTTGCCTTTATTTCACTATGAAAAGGCCCATTTCCAGGGACCCTCCTGCTTTCCTAGAAAGTGGTGCAGAAGCAGGACTGCCCCCTGCAGATCCACTAGGTGGCAGCACAGTCATAACTGCCACCAGGTCCTCACTCGAGAGCCTGCTGCCACACTGCCTGTCCCTGGGGGTGCCTTCCTTCTCAGCTGGGACCTCAGAGGAGGGGCCTGCAGCTCATCTCACAATCACATATCTTACCCATCCCTTTCACCTCCTTAGTAAAGGTGATGCCTTCCTGGTGACCACAGGAGCTGTCTACCACACAGGATGCTTACAGACCCTTTCAGCCTCCTTTCACTGACTCATGCCTCCCTCATCCTCTTGTCCTATAAAACCTTCTATGTGCATCTAAATGTGTTTTTATCTCCCAGGCCTGTCCCCTATTACAGGTCATTCTCCAGCCCCTCACTGGGGGATTTTAAGCAAGAACTCTGTGGCTAATTTATGCTCCTAACCCTGCTTTTACTTTTTAATTTGGGACATGGTCTCAGTAAGATTCCTCAGCTGTGTTTGAACTTCTGTAGCCCAAGCAGACTTTGAACTATGAATATTCTGCCTCACCTTCCAGTGCTAGTTAGGATGTCACAGGGCTGCTGCCACTTTGCCCAGCTTTTCCTGCTTTGAAAACAAAACAAAATTCCCTGTCATACCCTGTAGCTCCCATCATCTCCTGCCTCTTTTCTCCATGGCTCCCCTTTAAGAACTGCCACTCTTCACATTGTACTTTAGTAGGGCAAAGGGTTTTTTTTTGTTTGTTTTAGCAGTGTGTCTGTCTGTCTGTCTGTCTGTCTGTCTGTCTGTCTGTGTTCATGACAGAAGCCAACTTCTGAATATCTGTCCTGGCTTTTTTTTTTTTTTTTTTTTTTTTTTTTTTTTTTTTTTTTTTTTTTTTTTTTTTTACAGGGTTTCTCTGTGGCTTTGGAGGCTGTCCTGGAACTAGCTCTTGTAGACCAGGCTGGTCTCGAACTCACAGAGATCCACCTGCCTCTGCCTCCCGAGTGCTGGGATTAAAGGCATGCGCCACCACTGCCCGGCTTCCTGGCTAGTTTTTTGTCATCTTGACACAAGCTAAGGTTCTGGAGAGGGAAACCACAACTGAGAAGATGCTTTCATGAGATTTAGCTGTTAGCAGACAAACCTGGAAGGCATTTTCTTAATCTGTGATAGATATTGGAGGGTCAGCCCACTATAGATGGGAACACCCTGGCTGCTGGTCCTGGGTTCTGTAGGAAAGCAGGTCGATCGAGCCAGTAAGCAGTACTCCTCCGTGACCTTCATGTATTAGCTCCTGCCTCCAGGTTCCCTTCAGGTTTGAGTTCAAGATGGTGATTCAGGATAAGCCAAATAAACCCTTTCCTTCCCAAGTTATGGTGTTTCATCACTACAATACTAACCCTAACTTAGACAACATCAGAAGTCATGCCTCACATGCTGCCTGCCCACTGTGGTTTTTGAAGCAGGTTCTTACTGACCTAGCACTGGCCTAGCAGGTAAGCAAGGCTGGCTAACCATCAGACCACAGCAATCCTGGTGTTTCACTTCCCTAGCACTGGGAATACAGACGGTTTTACCACACCCAGCCTTTACATTGGTACTGAGGGTTGAACTAAGATCCTGGTAAGTACCGGGCAGTGGTGGTGCACGCCTTTAATCCCAGCACTCGGGAGGCAGAGGCAGGCAGATCTCTGTGAGTTTAAGACCAGCCTGGTCTACAAGAGCTAGTTCCAGGACAGCCTCCAAAGCCACAGAGAAACCCTGTGTCTCGAAAAAAAAAAAGAGAGAGAGAGAGATTCAAGTCTCTTCTAGGTAAAATTTGATAGCTGCATTATGTTGCAGATAGGCGTGCCTGGCAGAGAGCACTGACGAGTTCTGACAGTATGGGTAGCCCCAGATGTCCTCTCACCCATTTGTGGCTTGCAGGTGCAAGAGGCGCAGGAGACCCTGATGCCACAGGTGCTGGCCACTCTAGAGGATGACTCCCAGACCACACGCCTGGTCTCCTGCCGCATCATTAGCGTATTTCTCAAGAACTCAGGGGATACCATGGAGCCAGAGAAATTCCTCAGGGTCTATCCTGGTAAGACACTGAGAGTTGGGGGGTACACAAAATTATTTAGTAACTTCTTCTGTAGTCAGACATAGAAAATACTCCTGATTGAGTTGATGCTGGGTATCCATATACCACAGTTACAAATGAACCATCCCTGACGGAGCAGCCTGCATGGGAAGCAAAGAGAACCACTCTGGGCATTATTGGATATGGGTCCAGGACCTGTTTCTAGGACCACTAGGGTGTAGCCCATAAGGTTGAGAGACCCTCCTCAGAGCAGGAATTGTGTCCAGGTCCCCAGTCAAAAAGATAAAATTTAAAACAAGAAAAAAAAAAGTATGGAATAAGGCTTCTGCCTTCCAAGTGTTAGAGAAAGCAGTCTACATGGAACCAGGCTGGTGGGACATGATAGGGACAGCCTTAACTATCTGTCTAGATGGGACATGATGAGGATAGTCTAGAACCAGCCTGAGCACCAAGCAAATTATAGCCAGAGATAATGAGGATGTCAAAGCCAACAAGCTCCCAGAGCAGCCGGGCGATGGTGCCCCACGCCTTTAATCCCAGCACTCGGGAGGCAGAGGCAGGAGTATCTCTGTGAGTTCAAGGCCAGCCTGGTCTACAAAGCTACACAGAGAAACCCTGTCTCGAAAAACAAACAAACAAAAAAACAAGCTCGCAGACGGTAGCCAGAAGCAGGGGGAGGTCTGGAATATTCTTTAGGAGCTGACCAGGGACAGTGCTAGGCAGCGACTAGGCACGAGAGGAACCGATACCCCCTGAGAACAGTGAGTGTGAAGGAACAGTCTTACCAGGCAGAACAGTAGGTGTGAAAGAACATGGAGAAAACCGGTGCAGCGGTGATTGATTCAAGGTTAGCTTGCTAATACGGCTCCCCAAAAAACTGAACTGAGGACATTGTAATGGTTGGTGGGTGATCTTCAGGACAGATGACACTATAGAGGGTTGAGGGACAAACTCTTTATAGTTCTTACTTAAAATGGTTTAATATTGTCTAGAAGCTAAAATAATAACATCCTTTAGAAGCAAGTTAAGACCTGGCCATTCTTGCACATTCCTCTAATCTCAGCACTTAAGAGGCAGAAGCAGGGGGAATTATTGCAAATCTTAAGCCAACTTGAAACACATAGAAAATTTCAAGCAGCCAGGTCTAGACAGTGAGACCCTGTATCAAAACAAATAAGAAAGCCAGGTGTGATGGCACACAGCTGTTATCCTAGCACTTTGGAGGTGAAGACAAGAGGATCAACCTTAGCTACATGAGCCCACATCTCAAAAGAAAAAGTCCTAGGCTAGGCATGGTGGCGTACACCTTTAATCCCAGCACTTAGGAGGCAGAAGCAAGCAGATCTCTTGAGTTTAAGACCAGCCTGGTCTACATAGCAAGTTCTGGGCCAACCAGGGCTAACTAGTGAGATTATCTTTTAAATAAAAAAGTCTCCCAAGTACATTATATGAACTCTGAAATGACTGAAGGAGAAATTAATGAATTGAAGGCATTTGGCTCCCTAAACAGCCTCTGGGAGGAGAAATTCAGGCATATTCCCTGAGGGAGGAAGCTGAGGGTGGCTTCAAAAGAGATGGATTGAAGGCAAACTCAGATTCTCAAGCCTACAAATAAAATGGCTGAGATAGGAGGGGCCTCTGCCAGAACCTCCACAGCCCTGCAGGCCTCACCGCTGTCATCTCACATGCTTTTCTCAGTGTTCTGTCTTATTGTAAGTGTTTTCTTTCCACATTGGGTACACCTCCTGCAGTTATAGCAAACACAACTCTCCAGCACGTTGCTACTTCTCAGTGTACAGGAGACTGTTGGAAGGATGTTCCAGGATGGGTACAGGTGCATCCAGGGCCAACTTTGAACAGGGGACAGGTCCCAGCCTAAAGCATCAGTTCTGCCAGAGTTGCTCACAAAGAGCAATATCAGCTTCCACCAGCCTATTCACCCTTGTAAGTTAGCCCCAGTGAAAGTCAGCTCTGCATAATTCCAACATTGGTCTGGGCATGCTCAGGCCTGGGATGGGTGAGTCCTTGGGCTCAGGTTTTGTGCCTCAGCCAGCCTTGCACGCTTGAGTCCCATTCATTCTCCTCTGTTATTCTAAGGTGTGGTAGTCTCTCCTGTGCCTGTCCAAAGTATGCAAGCAGGACTTCCCACTGGGCTTCTAATCATCTTACAGCCAGAGCCCAGCGTTCTGGAAGGACCTGGGTATCCCCTATGAGTCATTCCAGCAGTTCCCTGTCCTGATGCTCCTAGCAGGAGGCCTTGCATTCTGTGTGTGTAGTCATCTTTTCATGTCTTCAGGGCTAGCCTGCTCATGAGCTTTCAGATACAGGTGAGAGGCAGCCTGCCCTGGCCAACACTCAGCTGTTGTCCCATTTGCCCATTCTCCGGAAGCTTTGTGCTGTAGAAGTAGGTTCCAGAAATTGCCTTTTGCCTCCTTTGGTTATTGAGATACGTTTACCCCAGAATGTCAAACCTAACTAGGCTTCAGACTTACAGCAGCCCTCCTGCCTCAGTTTCCCAAGTGCTGGTATTGCAGCTGTGTGTTCACATCTGTTCCAGAGAGGACTTTTTGTTTTGTTTTCCAGGTTGTGGGGAAAGCCTAAGTTTAATGAAACTCTTACCCATTACTTTAAAGTTTCTGTCCCTCAGGAAGGATAGATCTGTTTTTGACATCAGACAACCTGGTCAAGGAATTCCCACAGAGACAAACCAAGGCTGACACAGTTGTCATGTTGACCTCAGGCTCTTTACCCTGTAGCAGTTGGGAGGAAGGCTCAGCTCCATGGCAGCTGATAGTGTCCGGTGTCCATCTGGGTCTTGGAGGTCTCAGGACTGTGGGGACTAAACAGGAAGTGATGCGCCATCTGTTGAAGATGCTCACTGCTGAAGAGTCTCCCTTGAGGGGTGGGTTCGCAGGTCCCCAGAGCAAAGGCCCTCCATATCTGCAGGTTAAAAGCCCTGCCATACAGGCAGGTCTCTATGAGTTTGAGGGCTGCCTGATCTATAGAGCTAGTTCCAGGACAGTTAAGGCTGTTACACAGAGAAAACCTATCTTGAAAAACAACAACAACAACAAAAAAGCCCTGTCATAAATCTGTCTCACCTATCCCCTCCCCACAGAGCTCTTGAAGCGCCTAGATGATGTCTCCAACGACGTGAGGATGGCAGCTGCTTCTGCCTTGCTCACCTGGCTGAAGTGTGTGCAGAGCTCTGACGGGAAATCCGCCTATCAGAGCAGTGTTCAGTTCTTGTACAGGGAGCTGCTGGTCCATCTGGATGACCCTGAAAGTGCCATCCAGGACACAGTCCTAGGTGAGCTCTCCAGGGCCCACTGCCTCTGGGTTCTGGTAACCTGAGTTACTGAAATAGAAATTAGTCGAGATGTGTGTGTATGTATGCGTGAATGTTTGCCTGTGTGCGTGTGTGTGTGTGTGTGTGTGTGTGTGTGTGTGTGTGTGTGATCACATGCATACATGCATGAAAGTACCCATGGAGTCCAGAAGAAGGCATTGGACTCTCTTGAGTTCAAGTTACAGGTGGTTGTGGGCTGCCATGAGATACTGAGAATCAAATCTGGGTCCACTGAAAGAGTAGCCAGTGCTTCTGAGCCATCTCTCCAGCCCCCATTCTTTTCAATATTTGTATTTATCTGGGCCTGGGGGGGGGGGGGC